TTGTTCAGGGTTCAAAGGATGGGAAGTCATTGTTACTACTTTGTCATTGTGCTCGTTTTAGTATATGTAGTATATGTTGTATCGTCTGGCCAATTTGCATGCTGGCCCATCGTTCATCCAGTCAACATGGGCATATCGCGGTTTTTGCATTAGTGTTGCGATAAAAAAAATCACGGTTTGAATTAGTGTTGCGATAAAATGATAATCGTGTTTGCTATAATGTTGCCCTCCCTAAAAGATATCGCGATTATATATCTTTAAATATTTTAATTTTATTTAATCTTGAATTGTAAATATTTTATTTTTTTTTTTTTTTAATTTTTTATTAATCTTATTTGTAATATCAATAAATTTGAAATAGCTTTTCGTTCGTTTCATCATAAATTTATATTAAATTCATCCTATGAATTAGTGTTGCGATATTGTTGCATCGCGGTTTTTTCAATTAGTGTTGCGTTAATAAATTATCGCGTTTTTCATAGTAGTGTTGCGTTGAAAAAAATGCCCAAAATCTTTCCACTGAAATTGTGGAAATATGCACCTGGACCACCCGCAGAAGAAGAATTGCAGAATGGTGGTTTTTGACAGCAGCCTCCAATATGGTTGCAATTTCGATATTAATATAATTATATAATGACATTATATAATGAAACATGAGTGAGTATAAATTAATAATAATAAATAATAAATTAGTAGCGTCAATAAGCAAAATATCCTACTAAGGATATTTTTAATTTTTTTTTCTTTTTTGTTTCTTGTTAATTTGCAAATATAATAAAATATTCGCCGCGATTACTTTTGTGAATTTAATATTTTAGCGTTGCGAAAAAAGAAATATTCCACTCTCGATTTTTTCGGATTTATATTGAGTGGATGATTACTTTGATTCGATCTTTTCTTTTTTTTTTTTTTCCATCTCTCCTTCAGTATCCCCTATCAAAATATTTGTTTCAAAAATATTGTTAAAAAATAAGTTTGCTTTTTATCGATAAATATTTTATTTCTTATAGAATTGATTCTTTTTTTTTATTTTGGTATTAAAAAGATACAAATGAATAAAACATTTATGAATTACATAAATGTTTTAATAATTTAATTTTCTTTTTAAAAAATTATATATATAAATATAATATAAATTGTTTTTTAATTAATCCAATATCTGAGTTGTTACAGATATGCTATGAAGAAAATAAAAGAAGAAAGAAGCATATATCATACGAAATCAAAATTTTTTCTATTTAATTCTATTAAATCTTTCTTTAGTTTGTTTCAGAAACCAATCAGGCGTCAAAGAAAAAGGTATGAAATCTTACTTTTTATTTTATAGATTATAATATATACGATTGTAATTTTTTTATTTTTTTGTTAGAAACATTTAATTGGTTGTAAAATTTATGAGTATTGTTTTTTACGTACGAAAACTAGGTTTTTGGTAATTTATTACATTCACATACATATTACAGGTAGATATTAGAAATGAAAGTCAGATTTTCCGTTTATACAGAATAAGATGTAGAATAGGCATTTAGGAGGTAGAATACAACATTTAAGAGGAAATACTCCGTTATTTTTAGTTTTGAAAAGTTTTAATTTTCTAGATTCATAAATCAAACATTTACGGGTTTGATAAATAGGGATTGTGAAGGAATCGTTTAATTCTTATTTAGGTTGGATTAATAAATTAAATTTACAACAACTTCTTTATCGTAAGATTTCGAATATCGATATTTATTATTGATTATATCGGTTACAATAAATAGCTATTTTTTTTTGAATAATTCTTGAATAATTTAGGAGTATTTTGTAATTTAGAAGTTTTAAATTATCGAAGATAAAAATTTGCTTTCTTAATAAAAGATAGGAAATGCTGAATGTAATAAATTATAGAGGGCATAAGAATTCTAATTCTTTTTCGGTATTTCAGAAAGTCGGTATTTCAGAATACATGAGATAAAGTTCTATAAAATGATAATAAATTTATTTTATATCTATGATTTATATCAACATCAGGATTCATAATGAAAACTCTCTTTCTAATGACGAGAGTTATATGGAATAATAGATATTCAATTCCTCGTCTAGGAATGTAATAATTTCAAATAATCGGTATTATAGTTTTTGTTTCTCGTATGATGGTAACTGTGATAAATTTTCCATTCTTATCTATTGATGATATTTTTAACATTCTGAATAATTGAATGTTTTAACAACAAGCAATAAAATAGAATTCTTACAAACGATATTATAATAATATTTATTCGAAAATTTAAAAGAAGATAAGAATTTAGTAATAATAATAATAAATTTTTAGAATATAATTATCTATTTTTATCGAGGATATCATAATTATTCGAATATTTCGATTTTACAAAAAATTTAATCCGGTCTCTTATATATTTAATCGAGAAATATTTAAATCGAAAAATATTAATTATCAAACAACAGTATTTTATTATCAAAATTAAAGACAAGCTAAGGATTACTATTGTTCCATAGTAATCAATCAACGGGATATCGTGACCGTAATAACGAAAATGTTTTGATTTGGAAAATTTAATCACATGTTCCACATTCCAAATAGCACGATCCATTGGTTTTATCAATTCATCTTTTACAATCTCCGACATCGCTTTGATGTTATAGTAATATCTGTAATAATAGTATCAATTACAACATCAATTAAGTATTCCCGTTGTTTTAAAAAGTCTCGATGAAAATTCGCATAAATCTTTATGAAACGGGCTACACTCACGTTTTATTTTCTATAACATTGGTAAGGGTTTGCACGATGGATTCTTCGGTGATGGTATCGATGTCCAACGTAAGCCCGATACCAGCATCTAGAATTTTACGTGCGTTGAAAAGTTGATCCCCGAAAAAGGGAATGGCGACTACCGGCACAGAGTAGTGCACTGCCTCCTGCAATGACTGCAATCCACCTTGCATCACGTAGGCCATCACTTTCGGATGTGCTGTGTATAAAAGTAACGTTAGTATCGCGGATCTTGGGTGAAATAAAGCAGCGCCCTTATAGATTATCCTTTCCCCAGAGTTATTACAAATTTCAAGATTTAAGGTAGAGTAGAATTTCAAAGGGAGTAGACAGTGGAATAATAGTATTGAAACAAGAATCGCGTATTTTATCATCTCGTTTAGCATATAACGATATATAGTACAGTTACAATATCGATTTATAATCGTATAATTTCACAAGGAAAATTTCTTCAAATTAAATTCCGCATTTAAATAAGATCTATGATCTTTTATTAGTCATCATTTTTTTAATCCCAAAACATTATCAATAATCAGGTCATTGAAATAATGATAGGAATGTTTCATTCGTCGCATTGAATTTCAAAACTACGCGATAATCGAAATTTTCATTATTTGTAAGGCGTCCACTTATATTCTTCTACCTTTAATAGATTTCCTAGAGTAGGGAATATAAACCTGTCCATCAACGTATACAAAAGTTTTCCCTTGCTTGAATTTGCATCGAGATCGAGCGTTAGCGCGAACGATGTGGACTAGTTTGTCAAAATTTCCCGAGAGAATTTTCCCGACGTGTCACGAGTTATCTTTTCGTTACTCTATGAATTGTTTAAATTGATCCTTTAGTCGGATCAATAGAGCATCGTTTATTTTTCCAACTACCGAAGATTTTTCCCGGCTTGCACGTGTGTCAATTAACTATTGTAACAACGATATCGCTCGATATCCTTTCTTTTTCTTTTTTTCTTTCTCGCTTCGTTTCTCAATTAATCGATACAAATTTTTATCCGCATTGTACATTTCGCACCGTTGATTTCCGTCTCTGGAATCACGAATGTGTTCAAAGGGTTGTTGAGTTTTTGTACTCGAGACAGACAGAGAGAGAGAAAGAGAGAAAGAATGCGCGATGAAATTACATCGCATATGAGTCACACTTTACATTTGATCATTTAAAAATGAGCGTGGACGAGGTCGTTATGGAACACTTGGCTGCCCGAGAAAATTAACATCCATTCCAAATGAAAGGGCCTGCAAAGTCGGCGGCAACTTCATTAAGTATTTGCGCCAACCTCTGCTTACCTGTGAATCCTGTTTAACGAACAGACCGTCGCGCGACGAGTTTTGACGAGTTGTGTATGTAAATCAAACGAAAATGCGATAATTAACGAACAAACACGTACTTACGAGCAACGAGGACAATTACGTAAGAAGTTTCTCTTATCTTAGAAAGACAAAAAAAAGTAAAGAGACAGAGAGAGAGAAAGGGGGGAGGAAGCATCATGATCCCAGAAAATTCTTGTATCTCGCCGTTCTCGAGGAAGAAATCAAAGGAAGCATTATGTAATAGCGAGCACAATTCATCGTTCATCGGTTTATCAAGGAATAAATTCGTCGAGAGATGGTATTTTTTTTTTTTTTTCGTTACGA